TTACACTTAGCCAGCTTTATTGGTCAGGGAACAGCTGATAGGATTGGGACCAGGTGTATCGTCAAGTAAAGGTATCAACCGGGATCAGGAAATCCTGAAGACTCGTTGGTAAACCGGTGGTGACTACATTCAAATAAACCTACTTGAATAAAAGCACATCTGTAGGATATCGGAGCAAACGGGGAAAAAGAGAAGGATAAAAACGAGAAAATTTCTACATGAAATAGGTTGGAAGGGTGAGGGGAATATGGCGCTTTTGAGCTAAAGCAAGTCCCAGGAAAAAAAGAATATTTTCCACTTTTCTGAGTTATGGCTAAAGGCAGCACTTCACTCAGGCAAAAGTATGAGAATATACCCAATCAACGTGTTGATGCAAGAACACGTGACAACAATGGCAGAGGACACAGTATTTGGCAAATGCTTAGAAGCTTTACAGGAGAGCACAACTAAGCAGGTTAACTAGGTCAAACCAAGTCTACAGTCTCCTTGTCTTTTGAGAGACAAACGCTATGCGAATTCAATGGCATCAGCTTTTTTTAAGGTATGAAACTCAATTTTCAGTTCTAAAATCATCTTAAGCGACCCAAGATGATTCGACTTCTTGTTCAATGTCTACTGATAATATTAAATCTAGTTTGCCTTGCGAAATCCAGTCCAGCTACGGAAAAAATTGAAAAAGGCCTCAAAATTTACCTCCTTCTTGTGACCCATTGGCAATCATGGCTGTGTGGCGGAGGAGAAATATACTTACGCTTGTTACCCACAAACCAGCTTCGGATGCGGTTGGGACTGCTGATGAGACCCAGGTAAAGTGGAAAGTGCAGACGCGCCGACCCAACAATGTAGCGTGATGCCTTATACTCACTTCATTTTTAGGAACCAAACTAGTCAAAGAATAAAGCAAGAGAGTATGCTAGGTCACTTGTTTTCAGGAAGGATAACTGAGATTCTGCACACAACTCATGGTGCAAATGAATTTCACATGATCTTGCCTTAAAACAAGTTAGCTCATCCCGGGTGGACTGCAGTATATGGTCGGGATCCGATATTGGGTGATGAGTTTTGTGGATATGTCTATACTCCACTGCACAGTCAGAGGTGCTATTAACATTCAAGGCAAGACCTTAGCGACATAGGCTAAGTTCTACTTTAGGAATTATTGGCAAACATATGTTCGCTTATATAAGAGCCGTATTCACCTTAATGTTTTAGGGTGATGAATAATGACTATTAATTGAATTTTCGGACGATAGTAGAGACCTTACGTTTCAACTGAATTTTATTTAGAATACTTTTTGCGAAGCAGGGCTGCGTGAAATCTAATCTTAACGTGAGGCCTACTCATATCATTGTTGGAACATTCAACAACTTCCAGTCATTCATTATCTTAAACTAGATATGGTGAATACAGCTCTCATACAAATTATATTGTTCGTTTTGAAACCAATTAAAAAAACAAAAATAGGTTTGTCTAGAAGTTGTTTAACATTGGTTTCGCAATTTGGTCATATTAGCAGGAAGACCTAGAGGAACGCACCTTGTCTGGAGTTCATAGTATGCATGATTAATTTCAGAGTCGGACCGTGGATTTGGTACATTCCCAGACGTTTCGCCGGCACCGTAGTCGGCATCAGCAGTGAGTCTTGCCATTCTCAGCACCAAGCCATAACTTGTCAAAGATACTTATGAAACAGCAGGTGTGATGACTTCACACTAAACTCGCCAAAAAGGGCGCACTTCTTGAGGAGTGGAATGTGCTCAGAGTAGAGATTAGATGTGCTGGAACGGAAAGAGGAATGATAGAACAACCGTTTATGTAGAAAGTTGGTTAAAGGATTGAATACATTTGGCCCTTTGACGAGTTGTAACTTGCTGCTGAGAATGACATGACTCACTGAAAATGCCGTCTACGATGCTGGTGAAACGTTTGGTAATGTATCAAGTCCACGGTCTGACGCTGGGAAGTATAATAACTAGCATAGCAGAGGATCACTTTAAACCACCAGATAAGTATATTCTTATTCAACCAATTTAAGCCTAGCAACCCCAGACAGACGACGGCTCCAATCTGGTACTCCAGTCGAGCTAAGCCCAGCAAGTGAGGCAAGTCGATCAAGCTAAACGCCACTTTTGTGAGGCAGGTCGGGTCACCAAAAGAGATTCCGGAAGCGAGGCAGGACAGTAAAACTGCACAACCTAAGCCTATAAAAACTGCCCAGTTTCCCTTGAAACAAGGAAGGATGTCTCGTGGGCTGCATCAGCCTGAACTGTTTTAGCAAAGCTGTCATCCTCCCGTGAAATCGCCATATGAATCTCTTCATCATGCACTTTCATACAAAACAAAAGTCTCTGTAATACCACCAATTTTGTGCCTGGCAGGGTCTGTCAGTGAGCAAAGACAGCTCACATCCAGTCATGTCCAAGAGCTCAATAGGTCGCATGGTTAGATCGCAATGCCATCACAGTCCAGGAGGCCTGATTTCGCCCCACATGGAGCTAGGAGGTGTGAATGAGTTCACATCGCGCACGATTTGATTTCGCTCAGCAGCTGTGCTCATTCGGTGGGAGTACTGTTGTTGTTTATAGTTGCCCGGTATCCCCCCCAAAATACGATTGATATCCACTCTCGGACAGTCGCGCATAGGTACTCTGTGATGGTGAGGAGAGCCATAAGCTCGGAAATCGCGTCCGTCGCTCTCCTTAAACACGGACTTCTCTACAACGCGAGCCAGTGAAGAGAACCCCTTTGACCCCAACATACTCCTCCTATACCCACTTATGACTCGGCTGCCATACTCTCGATGTAAGTCCTCCACTCACCCTCTCAGTTTGCTCCTGATCGACGGATATCGTGAGGGTGCGCTCGGAAGAGCTCCTGACTTAACATGTACCAGTTCCTAATGAGGGGCATTACGGCCACGTTTCTGGTTGAAGTGCGAGCCAGCTACATTATCGGCAATGGTGTCCATGGTAGGGTGGTGGCAGGAGCTTTAACGGTGGTGAAGAGGAGACTAAAAGAGGGTTAATCGCCTCAAAAAGAGCGGGCGAGATGAGTACCGCTAAGGCATGGGGCCAGGAAGTCACTTTTTGTTGCGGTCTTCTGCTTGAGCGACC